AGTGCGTGTATTTTGGTATCTACGTCTACGTAACACAGACAAAAGTATTCGTTCTTAATTTAAATAAAACACTTCAACGCTTTAAATATTTTAGTTAAACTTATTTGAACTTCGACCCGACAGCCGAAATAAATTATATTCATATATAACGCGTTTTAAACCGTTGAAGTGTTTTATTCAAATGTACTCTCGCGTTACCTACAGACAGTATTTCGTTCTTAATGTCCAATAATATATCGTCCAATGAATATATTCTTGAGTTACCAAGAAACTTAGTACAGCAGGGACCCCTCGGTTAATAAAATATGTTAATACCAATTAAAATGTTAACAATAGCCAGTAGCTTCATTGAAACCGGTTTGGCACATGCACTGTTACAACTCTATCTCATTAGAGGGACTCTACATTTGGGAGCTCAGCGCATAAAATAATAAAAAAATATTCACGGAATTCTCGAACTAAGATCAACGGAACAAGTATGAGAATGGCTTACCATGAATTTAGCTTTGAAAGATAAACATTTGACAATAAAAGCTTAAAATATGCATTAGATCTAAACAAACATAGACCTTAGGTACTTCCAATCTTATCAGAGATGAATGAAGTTAACAATAGATAGTTAATCCAGGCTTACGATCGAATTTCCAAAGGGTTTTGGCAACCCTTCCCAAAGTAAATTGTACAAAAATGTACGTTAGATTACTTGCTAACTCATAACAACACATTAATTTATGACAGACTATAGATAATAATATGAGAAGATATTTTTAAAATGAATAATGTTTCTATAAGTAAACAATTTATGAAACATCAATCAACATTATTTCTATACATCGTGCGGTGACAGTGTGGAATCAATACTAGGGGCTTTACGGGTCTTAAAGCGGAAATAAAAACTAGTTTCCGATGCCATTCAGTCTTTAGTCGTGGCAATTTGTCTTTCTACTTATTTGACAAATTTATTGGCAACATTGACGTGGGGTGACTTGAACTATACCGGACTAAAGACTGTCTAATAATATCAAAAGTGGCATTTTAACTTTGTACATAAAATCGAAGATTGAGATATATAAAGAACAAATAAAGAAAAGGCTAAATATTTATGTGAATGGATCTCCTAACTTTGGCTATACGGAGTACGTACAGCGCTGAATTTAAGACGAAAATCTACGAAAAACCTTAAGTTTAACGCACGTAGGTATATCGTAATACATAGACAAAAATAATTGTTATTTGGGCAGTCATATGTGCATCTTATTTCTGTCGAGTTAAGGGATTTGATCGTGCACCAACATTATTATCGTTTTGTACTTTTTTTGAATTTGTACCGACACCCACCGACATTTTCGTAAAACGTTATCAATCTAAATAAATATTTTATTGTATATAACGTTCTCATGTGCAATAACATGTGAAAATAAAGTAAAAAAAAATACTTTTTTTAACATTAGGTGCAAAGCAAAGGATTTAAAGAAAATATCTTCAGAGTGGGATATATTTATAAATTGCGATTCGATTATCTTGTTATCGCTTGATCTAGCGAACATCTCACTTGCAGGGGCAGGTTATACCAGCTACTGTAAACAGAAATACGATAGCCTTGCCTACGACACTTATTTAAACTATCCGTGATAATTATCTTGCGGTTTGCAACCAGTTTTTAAAGGCGCCAAAATCGACATTATGTTTGGTATGTAGTGATAAAAAATGCGTGTTATAAAATGTTAAATTCTATTTCTCTGGTACATAATTTATTATCTTTTACACTTGTAAATTATACATATTGAATTACGTTTATAATATTTAAATAAAGAATGTGGGGTATTCTTTAATCTGTATAACATTTTATAAGTATACGTTACACATTGTGTTACATTTATAATATTTAAATACAGAATGAGTCGCATGTATATTTTTGGTAAGTTTAAAACGACTTGCCAAAATGTGCCCATATTAAAAGTGCAAAACAAATTTTTATTGTCTTAGAGACTACATTACAGATGCAAGCAGCTGCGGTATGCGAATTATGAGGCCCTTTATTAAATTATTCATTTACCCCTCACGCCCTAAATCCGTCGGTTATGAATGAAAGGGTTGCACCGCGTGCGCTCTATCCATCATAAAATGACGTAAAACAAATCGATTTCGGGAAGCGTGTGATATGCTATTATTATTTGATTTTCTACTTTATTATCATTTCATTAAAGTTTATAATAATGATAAAACTATATCAATAATTTTCGCATGAATTGCCTTATCAGTTATCGCTTGTAATTTCATATTTGGACCAGTCTATGTTATGCTAATCAGCACGTGGTCTTGGTATAGAATTTAGCACTATTATTTTTTTTTGATAATATTTTATAAGAATCCAAGTAATTGCAAATTTTCTTTAATTGGTTTAATGTTTTTAAGTTTTTATGCTTTAGCCTGAAAATTGAGAAATTATAAACAATCACGCGCAAAAATCTAATTAACAATTAAAAATTTGATTTGAGAGAAAAATGTGTCTGTTACATGCCCCGCGTAGATATACAGGATAGTTTACAAACACGTAGATATATTTTAGAGAATTGATGTGTAATCTTGCAATCACCTTCATTAGGTAGGTGTTACTAAAACATCCATTTATAATGTATGTCATACCGACAAGTGATAATCGTAAAGTATCAAAATTATTCATATGCATTTTCATCATTGGCGGCAGACTCTTATTTGAATTAAATATTTACAGAAATATTCGTATAATACGACGTGATTTAGATTTGTTAATAAAGGTGTTAGGTTTCATACAGAAGTGTTTAATAACGGTCGAAGAAGGTTGAGATCGGAATGTACATTAGCGGGGAAAATGATTTATGAAGTTCTTAATTTGAATTTTTAAGTCGATTCGTTTTTGTTTATGCGATATGCGCATGACACGGAAACAATAAACCTCTTACTTGCCTTATTGATGTATATTTAATCGCTTAGATAAAGATCTATGCTAAAAAAGCGCAATGTTTCTCTATACAATATATAACTAAAACTGGGAATTCATAAAAATATGGTTTTATATTTGTCAATTATTGAAGTTGAATACAAACAGTAAACAAAACGAAACGATTGTAAATTAACGAAAAGATTATAAATTATTTTTTCCGTTTTTTTGTTTGTATGTAGCCGATAATCTCTGTAGAGCTCGGACCATCTCTATCAATGAGTTAAGCTAAGCTTGGCACGAGGAATAGATTAACAGACTTAAGTCAGCAATAAAAGTAACAATCTCTACTCCTTATTCCGTGCAGACGAAGCCACAGGCGTAGCTAGTAATTACTAATAAACAAGAGAACATTGTGAGGAGTTCCAGTGAAGTTATGGTTGCATCCTGCGTCAGTCGTTTCCGTAGTCCTTGTTCCAACTGAGCAAACTGGGTTATTTCGATATAGTGACAATGTATGAACACCCTGTATTGAATACAAACTAAGCCATAGTTTTTATAACGATAAAAAATACGTTTATTTCATATTGTACCTACGGTAGACTTAAGTACTGGCTGTATCAAATACAACAACGCTAAGAACGCAATATATATTAGTTAAACTAATTTGAACTAATTTTACCTAGGGCCCGACGTTTTGGACGTTTCGGAATAACTAATATATATATCGCGTTTTAAACCGTTAAAGTGTTTAATTTAAATATTTACTACCCGCGTAAACGACAGACAGTATATACCAACGTTAGGTAAAAGGTTATTAACGATTAAGATAGAGATTTCAATGAGGCTATATAAAACCAAACCATATCACATTTTTTAACGTTAAAATTAGGTCACATGTATGTTGAATGACTTAGAATTGGACATTGATAAATATGTATAAATAGTACGTCATACCAATGACGTCATTTAAACAGAACAGTTAAGATAATATTCCAAATTTAATTAATTTAAATTATAAATGAGTATTTCTATGGAACTAATTGAGAATCTGTGAGGAAAATCAATTTTAGGAAATCATAAAGTGTTTACATATTGGCAGTTGTTTTGAGGTAAATCGTAAGTAGAAACTCATAGTTCAGATAATTGCTCGGATTGCTCAGCATATTTTAAACAACAATTTACTTCCGATTCACATAATTTACATAATGATACGATCAATTTTCGCTTCGCGTTGGCACGTGTTTGTCGCGTAAAAGGAACGCTATACTTGCAACCCTTATGGCTGTTTTCGCAAATAATAAATCAGTAACATTGTTAAAAGTATATAGATTTTTTAATTAAAAAAAATGTAGATGGGATTCGAACTCGCTATCAAAAGCGTACTCTTCGTTACTTCGACTAAACTGCTTGACACATGGATTTTCAAAAATACATTAAATAAAACAGTTAAACGGTTTTAAACGCGAAATATATTAGTTATTCGGATGCTGTGCAACAGCCGTGGTCACGGTGTCCGGGGGAGATAAATAAGTTTAATTAAAGTATTTTGTTTAAACAGATACTAAAAGTTTAAAAATCGAAAATAAATTGAAAAAATTTTCGGCGGGACCTCGGGCAGGACTTGAACCGGCATCGTCAGCTTTCCGTGCTGTTGCTCTACCAATTGAGCTACCGAGTCCTACACCTCATCGTCGAATTTTTTCAACTTATTGTGTTAAGGTAGAAATTACATTGCGGAGAGGTGCATGTATCAAAAGTTGAAAAAATTAATGAGGTGTAGGACTCGGTAGCTAATTGGTAGAGCAACAGCACGGAAAGCTGACGATGCCGGTTCAAGTCCTGCCCGAGTCGAAAATTTTTTCAATTTATTTTCGATTTTTAAATTATATAGTGCCTTCATGTGCAATAACATGTGAAAAATATTAATTTTCAGAATAAAAGTGTTTTTCAATCAATGCAAGCTTATCAATATGTTAAAAACTATAAATGTTTTTTAAAAGTAATTAAACTGTGATATAAATAAGTCCGTTATACGAATTTAGTTTTAAATTTGAAATTGGAATAAAATGATTCCCGGATGCGTCACTGGTTGTTAGAGGCATCGGGCGACCGGTCGGGGCGAAAGTCGAGTGCTGCCGTACTGTGTGGCCGCGGAACCACGGCACAGTCTCATCTAAGCTACAGCTATGCGCACATCTTCCCTAACATAGCCGAAATTTTCCTCGACACGTTCCCGTGAACGTGCGAAATCGCGGCGCGAATTTCGACATATTTAAATAGAAATTCTGGCAGAACTTTTATGGGACAGAATATTGGCGCTGGCGATTTTTTTGGTAAAGTGTTAGTGTAACGGTGTAATGTAATGCATTGGCTTTGACAGATTTTTGATTTTTGTGCGGTGTGCCAAACATTCTGTTGATGTGAAGTGTATTTTTATTTTGTGCTCATTTTGTTTTTGGATTTTTTGCTGCGGAACTTTTTGGTTGGTTATTATTGTTTTGCATTGATTTTCAACTTTTTATTGGTCATATTTATTGCATTATACTTTTGAATTTAGAAAATGCCTTATTAAGTAAGTAGCATCTTTATCGCTTTATTTTTGTATTATTTGACATAAGTACTTTGACTAACTTACTTTAAATGTGGAATTCTTTTTAATGTGTATTTTTAATGATAGCTTCCTCTAGTTAACTTTTAAAGCTTCTTGAAGCAATATTCATGGCGCTATAGTATATCGATCGGCGTTCGATTAATTTTCTTATGACAAATTCTATCATAATGTTAACGAACTGACGCCTCGCGTTAAGAGAATATTCAGACGCGACGTAAGGCGGTTGTGATTAATTTCTCAACTTGTCTATAGATTATTGGCATCGTTTGGCAAGTTTTTATAGAACAATATTAATATTGCACGTCAATATTCTCATATTAATATTATATAATAAATAGATAATCTTTTAACCACCAAAGACCTACGAAGCCTAATTAATTAGCGCTTATTTTAATAATCTTAATAAAAATCCAAACATATTTAAAAATATTCTACAGTTTAGTTATTTAAATAAATTTTAACAGATATTACTCATTTCGAAATTTAAACTAAAAAGAGAAGACTTCGCACAGTTATACGCATTATAATTTTGTTATATGAAGATGTATTAATAAATATATATATATTTTGAAGTCAGTATTGTAGGTAAATTGTAAGTTATTTTATTTAATTAGATTCATCATTCGGTACGCTGTGTTTAGTATAGGAATCATACATTATGAAAACTTTAATATTTTGAGGCACTATATAATCTAAAATCGAAAAAAAAATTGAAAACAATTTCGATTTTTAAATTGTATATCGACTCAACAGCACGGAACGCTGATGATGCCGGTTCAAGTTCTGCCCGAGTCGAAATTTTTTCAATTTATTTTCGATTTTTAAATCATACCATATTTAAACTTTTGTATTTATTTTTAAAAATTGATATTACTAAGGATTAGAATTATAACAGTATAAATTTACACGATCTATAAAATAGGCGTGCTACGTCGTATCTACGGGGAAAAGTTAGCGTGACTTAATTTTTCTAGAACGGCTGAATGAATTTAGATTAGATTTAGAAAAAGCTTTCTTTCCTAAATTAAAGGGAAATTCTTACTGTTTTGTAAATTTATATTAAACGCCTTATATACATTTTATTAGCTTTTGACATCATAAAATTTAGGGCTTTGGTTATTTAAAAGACTTTTTGGTAAAACTCAAATACTGTCTGTAGTTTACATGAGTAGTACACATTTAAATGAAAAAAATTATCAGTTTAAAACGCGATATATTTAAGTTAAACTTCTTTGAAAGTTATTTTAACTATGGCCCGGCGTTTCGGATGCATTGCAGCAGCCGTGGTCTCCCCGTGTCAAATAAGTTGAACTAAAATATATCGCGTTTTAAACCGTTAAAGTGTTTTATTTATATTAGTATAACTTTTAAAATTCAGTTTATGAATTTACTATCGTTCTAAAATATAGTTATCAGTTATCTTATATTGACATATGCAATATTAATCTCCATTGGTTGTAAGACAGAATAAAAAAGAAAGAATAGACGGACAGACAATAGATAATAATTTATTAAAATATGTAGTAAACATATTCTAGCCAGACACCGACCATGAATACGGCAATTATTATGTCATGATTGTCGATTTCACCCCTTTTGTAACGATCTCCGATTGCTACATTGTTTAGGGTGCGTTGCAAAGCAATACGGAAGTTGCAAGAGATATAAAAAACTCTTTCAACACCAAAATGTACCAGGGATAGGTGTGAAGATTTTATATTAAATCTAGGGAGAGACTCGTGTCTCCCGAGCATGTAATTATAGTTTTTATTGTAAGCAGAAGATTAAATCATTTATATATGTACTTATATATAAATGATTTAATCTTTTCGAAATTAAAAGTTTCTTTTTTCTACTTAATATGTGCATAAAGTTGTGAATCAAATTTTGAATGATATTTAGTTAAGTAGCTAACAAATTCCTAATCGGCCAATAAAACCACAATACGAGACAATCAGGCATAATAATTTGTTTAAACCGTTAAAACAGTTCAATTTCCACAAACATTAATAAAATTTCCCACTACCAAAATTCCACGATAAATATTGAATCGACTCTTACGATGCAATAAAATTTTCATCAACAAAGCTCCGAATCTTCCAATCCACGCAATAATACATCCGATCTAGAAAAATTATTAGCATCAATAAATTCAGGTTCACTACTCTAAAATGGAATTTAAAATAACACCCCCATATATCGTTGGGAATGGTGTTATTGACTGCTATAACTTGGGACAGTCTTCGCGTCGCCGAATGTTACGTGTTCTTTCGAACTATGTTTGAAAACTTTTAAAGTTTGTACCTGACTAGAAATATATACTAGAGAAGGGCCGAATGTGGGTTAAACCGAAACCGAATTTTGGCCGAACATTCGGTTTCAAATGGAGAACTTGATAAAACGTAACAGGATGTTTGAACTTCGAAGACGAAGTGCATATTTTATTAATCAACTCCCTTAAGCCTACTATCTTGTTTTTTATTATCTAATTATTTATGTATCTGCACTCGATTTTTGTTACTTATTAATAGTGACCATCATTTGACAACTTTGAATAATATATAAATTCTAATACAAGTAGGTTTTTCTTAACCTTATTTTGCACCTAAAGTTGCCGGTCTAACCGAACGAGATACTGAATGACGTCGTGTCCCTAATATAGACTTGTATATGTCAGGTATAATAATTTTATCTGTGTAACATTGAGCGTATGTTTGCCATTCCATTGTCGATGGACCTTGTATTAGCAATGAATCTTCAATCTTCATAATGTCATAATATTATTCTTAGGTTTTTGTGGCGCTGAAGTGGTTTTTGATCTTTACGATGTTTCCTTATATTTTACAATAACAATAACGATCAATGTATTCATTTGCACGTTTACAATTATTAACTTAAAATAATATTGTGTTTTAAATTAATTGAAACCTAGGTACAAGATAAAAGCTATACAAAGGTGGAAACGACTAAAGTGTTCATGAATACGACAGCGATATTATTCGTATGTGAAAAGCAATTACGGAATAATTGAATTGTCGAGAACTGCGCCAATGCATCATAAAATAATTGTATTTATAGCAATTTCAAATGCATACAAAAATGTATGATTTATGATACTTTTTGAACAGAGAAATAAAGTTTAGATTTAGCCTTTTCTCGTAACTATTTAGAGACCATAATTGGACCTAATTATGTTATTCGTTATATATTAAATTGAAATATGTTAACTAATATATACGTGACGTTATTCGCTCACCCAAAATACAGCTAATATAAAAAAATATTCAAGCCAATTTTCATATTTTTGTATATTGTTATTTAGCCTCACTGTACAATGAAAGCAAAATACAACGTGTTGTTGAATGGCAATCTTGTACTTAGTTGACGACTCGGGCGGTTGTTAAGATAGACAATTTCAATAAAACGTTCTCGGCGAATGGATTTCACACATTAATCTGTTCTCTTCACGACGATATGTGAGACATTACGGTTCTAATGTTGCGCTAAAGTTTCTAACCTCTTACCTCGTGGTATCGTTACTTTAATGCCACTACTAGAAAATTGACTATCAAAATCGTCTTGAGAAAACTGCTATATAGATATTTCTATAAAAATCAATGTATATGGAGCAATATTTTTAATCTAAGCGTTAATTGCTCGATGTGTATGTATTGCCCAGCCTGTCCTGGGTTCGAAGCTCGTAAACATAACAATCAATATCAATCAGTAACGTTTGAAAGTATTATTTTTCACATCCTACACGTCATCGTCGATTTTTTTCAACTTATTCATGGCGCGAGAGGTCATGTATTAATATAATTGAAAAAAACTCGACGATATCGTGTAGGACTCGGTAGGTCAAATGGTTAGAGCCGCACGGACCCTGTAGATGTCAGTTCAAGTTCTGCCTGAGTCGTAAATTTTTTTCAATTATATTCGATCAATCAATCAGTAACGGTAGATCACGTACTGCTACCGGCATTAAAGTTTTACATAACATGTAAAGATTTTTAACATTAAAAGTAAGCCTTTCTTGTTAATAATTTCAGGCTTTCAAGTACAGAGTAATTTCAGAAAGTTTAGCGCGACCTTCGCAATTGCAATTGGAATGAAATAAAAATTATAGCACTTAGCTTTCATCAAACGAGCTTAAGTATTTCTTTATATTAATGGCTCTAGGTCAAGAGGGCGAATGTATCGCACGCTACTTATTTAATTTCTAGTTATATTTACTATATAATGATGTTACATAATATCGACAGTAATGTTTGCAATGTGATAACGGAACGCAAAGGATTCACATATAATTTGCAACGGTCAATATTTTATACAATTTGTTAATCTAAATATTTAATAATGGTAACTTTTTTATTCTTCGTTTGATAGGTCAAGTCAACATAACGATAAAAAAAGTACGCATGTGACGCGGTAATTTAATTTGTAGACCACGATACGACCCCATAAGTTCTTGTCTCATCTGAGTAATTAAATATTTAAACCTTAACATCTTTAAATACCGTCTGTAGTTTACGCCAGAAATACACATTGAAATAAAACACTTTAACAGTTTAAAACGCGAAATATATGAGTAAACTTTTAAATAAAACACTCTACGTCTCCCCGTGACCACGGCTGCTGCAAAGCATCCGAAACGTCGGGCCGAAGTTAAAAATCATTTTCAAATAAGTTTAACTAATATATCGCGTTTTAAACCGTTAAAGTGTTTTATTTAAATGTGTACTACTCGCGTAAACTATAGACAGTATACAGTTTAGTATTGAGTTATACTTATTTAAAATGATTTTAACTAAGCCTCGACGTTTCGGATGCTATGCACGCGTGGTTTTGCGTTTTAAACCGTTAAAGTGTTTTATTTAAATGTAATATCCATGTCTTTTTTTTGCGGAATTTTCCAGAGGTACTTTCCACTGGCCATATATAGTGTTAAGCCCATTATGCTAAAGCCAAAGCAGATTATATTGTTACCTACTTAATCGATCCGATTGATAGGCTAATACTTGTTTGACCGTGAGTTACGGTTGTAAGCTGCTAGGCCTTGTTGATATAAAGCAGGAGTCGAACTCACGACCACCTTGTTTGTTGTTGTCTTTTTTAGGAATTGTAGTGCTTGTGTGAAAATGTGAAATTTTCTGTGTTAGGCCTGGCAGTGCGTTTAACCACTGAGGCACAGAGACGCTAAGAAAACTGTTACAGTGGCAAAATAAAAGCTAGTGTTTGAAGTAATCGATAATTCACCTAAATGTAAGCTAATTTTAAATAAAGTAAATAAAATACTGTCTTTAGTTAACGTACACATTTATATAGAACATTTGACGGTTTAAAACGCGATATATATCATTATTGTTAATATCCCCGTGACCAAGTTTGCTGGAAAGCATCCAAAACTTTGGGCCGTAGGTAAAATATATTTTTTTAATAAGTTTAACTTAGATATATCGCGTTTTAAACCGTTAAAGTGTTTTATTTAAATAAAATAGATAATTTTGAAATACCATGGGATAGGTATATGACACCGGTGACGCGGGATTCCGAAAAATAATGAATATTAAAACCGTTACGTGACGTCTGTTGGTAAAACCGGGTGTCAAAGTCGCGAAAGCCTTCGTGTGCAGGATATTGCTTGGAAATAGACAATTATTTAGCGGAACTGCGACACGCAGTGATGGAAAAACCTTCGATGTTTACAATTTCATTAATATTCATGATATTTTTTAGAAATATTCACTTTTACAACATGTAAATACTACGGTGTTAAACTAAAAGTAAAAAGTTCTACGGTATGCTTCTTGTTTTCAAAATTATTCTATTTATTTTTTAGATACGAGGTACGATTTTCACTTGTTTTCAAATAAATTACATCTTTAATCACTCGATATCAATACAAAACTTGTGTGAGCTCACGTTTTTTGTTTTATCGCGCAACTTTCAAAACAAGATAACAAAAGATGGCATAAAAAGACCAGATCTTACATTATGATTACTATGATCATGTCAATTAAAAGTAATAAAACATTGATCATACTCATTTAAATAAAACACTTTAACGGTTTTAAACGCGCAATATATTGGTTTAAATTATTTGAAAATTAATTTAACAATGGCCCGACGTTTCGAACCGTTAAAATGATTTATTTAAATGTGTACTACCTGCGTAAACTACAGACAGTATTGAGTGTACTCGAGCTACAAGAATCGAGTCTAAAAATATGTCTAGAAATTATATAAGTATACATTGTTATGAACATAATTGTGTCCAGTTGCATTAGTATTGCAGTATTTCTAATGAAAAGGTAAAAAACAATTAACTCACACGCATGATTTCCATTGCACCTGCCTCTTGTCTTACGAGCCGCAGGTAAATTGAACGAGTCGTTTCATTAGTTATATTATTAGTTTGCTCGTCAACTTGTTCTCTTGACAACAGTTGAGGATAGAATTTATTTATCTTGTACAATGCTTTAAAAAAATATTTAACTAGTACAAATATGTAATTTAAGGCTTATGTAGATCTTTTATATTAAAAAGCATTTTTTCTGTAAACTAGAAAGTTCGCGACAAAACCCAATACAGCTCTTGAAGAAATATTTTATAATTATAGTCCGCCACTGCCGTTACTTATCCGTTTTCCAACTGAAGCGTACGTATACTGTGGTAAAAGTCAAGCTAGTAGGCCTTTCATTTACAATTATATTGCGCGAGCCGTAGACCGCTACGCGCTTGGTTCTAATCGTTCGCCAAACACTCGACATTCTACGGTACCCCGTCACCCGTGTGGTCTGCACGCAAATCATTTCTATAGAAATTACTGGAAGCGTCGAATTAAAACAATAAGTATCACAAAAAAACAGGCCATAGCTACGCCAACATTAGTTTCGAATTAATTTCATGTTTAATTTCGCCTACAACTTTGAAGAACATCGAATATTAAGTTCATATTTCTTAACAATCACGACAAAACAAATAAGAAAGTCGAATGACATTCGGACGTTAGCCTTCATACATAAATTAGCAATTAGCCGTACCATAATGTTATTTATTTTCAATGTTTGTGTCGACCGGAATAGCATTGGGTGCAAATCAACAGACGGTGTTTGTCATTCGACTTTATGTGCACTTGTTTCGTCGCAGGCGCATCTAGCGACGCTACCTCGGTGTATGTTAACTTACAAATGTACCTGAGATCTGCAAGGCACCTTTATTTATGTATACTCAGACAGAAATCACCCTTTGCATCGCCCGCTCGACGCATGGGAACCAAGAAAGCATTCAAAATGATTTATTGTAAATGGCTTTCTACTTTGTTGGCTAAAATAATAAGCACCGCGCCCGGATCGCCGTTCTAAATTCGAGATTTTATTGTTATTTTTTCGCTTTACTACAAGCCGAAGCGCGGTGTGAAATTTAATTTGCAAACCCTCCGGTAGGCCATTAGGGGAGATTGAAGGAGTCAGCGATACGGTAATCTTATTAACGGACTATTCGTTAGCCTTCGCGCGTATGACGTGGCTAAGTTCTGAGGCGACAAAACGAATAATAGAAACGTTTAAGTACGGTAGGACTTGCGGGTGTCTCTGTGCGTGCGCACAATGGCATTCGAGCGTCCGAACCGATTGAAGCGTTGATTCCAAAGGTGTCATGAGAATTAGTGAGCCATTATTGGCCATAGAGACGCGTTGGTCAAGCAAAAAGCAGATAACAATAATTAGCTCGGACGTTACAAAAAGTGACATAAATCCCGCATAATAAGTTCCCCGTAATGCAAAAACTCTCGTCCAGTTTACCTGACTTCGAACTTTTTGCGGAGTGACTAGAAGCGGCCGATAATATAATAAACACCTCAATTCCTGGTGCATTGTTTAATGACTCTCCTGTTGTGATCTTGCACAATTCTCGGCATTTTTTTCACTTGGCTTCGCGAAAAAAATAAAAGTTTTTGTTTGCATGGTAGCATTTAAACAATGGCCCTCGCGCGAAGGTGTGATATATTTATGGCCTCAACCCAAAAGCTACGGTTGAGTCTATTGCATTGACTAAAGGAATGTTTTGTTTCAGGTGCAAAATGGGATTGACAGACGCATAAGCGCTTCGCATCTATCGCGGTGTGTGGGTTAAATATAAAACAAAGATGCTGGGGTGTGCCCAGAGTAGAGTGACCTCGGTATTGGCTTGCGTGAGATATATTGGGTTCAGTTCGGCGATCGACAGCCGGTGTTTAGATAAGTAGTATATATAGATACCGACACGTACTAGTCAAGACGTACAGCAGTTACCAATAGGTGCAGTGTTAGGGACCACCGCAGGAGTGGTATGCTTTTTATTGTACATTGTATCGACTGCGCGCTGACTGGTCGCTACGTCACGTGGCTTCCCGGCGCGCGACTGCAGTGCTGGATGCTACTAACTGTATACACGTGAGTACATTCATGATATTATAATATTGTAGTCATAAGACATATAAGTGAGCCCTGCCTTTCTTATCGAATTGCACATGCACACAAATTTTATACTTGTAACTGATCTATAGAGATTTATATTTCTTAGGAGTGTGTCATAAATGGCGGCAACATCTATCAAGCTATACATACAAAAGATATACCTAGGTAGAAAACATACACATTGAGGATTTTTTGCACATAGCGCAAGTATTTCAGTCATTTCAAACATTATTCGTGTTTTGTTTAGTTGCTTTTAAGCCTCCCATTATACATGCTATTACAGGAAACTTTCTTTACTACCAATCAGAAACTAAATTTCTCCAAATAGGTTTATTACAAAGTTTATATTTGAATGTATGAAGCGCTATGAATTACGAGCGTAGGAAATTTACAGTTGCCTTTCGACTGCAAAGTGTCAAGTCCCTTCGGCTTGACATTGTCGAGGCCAGAACCAACTCACGCTCATCAATGTTGAGGACATAAAATGAAACTTCCGCTAAGGTTGTAGCCTCCTATAAATGCTGTAGACAGCTGTATAGCTTATAGCGTACTAAGACAGTACTAGAACATCTTAAGCGCCAAGTACGACACTCAAATTTGAAAATAGAAGAGAACATGTTCTCAGAGAAAGCGGCGGAATATGTGATGTCGTATTCAAGCTATAGAAAAACTTACTCCATAGCTTTTAGAATACAGCCTAAATCTCATGCTATTTGGTGTTGATCATCTAGAGAAATTCCTATTCTGAAATGCACTAATCGAACCTCAAATCAGATAATCACACTAAAGAATAATACCCCAATTTTTTCATCACCAAACATACAGATCTTAGTAATACATTGAAGCCTACAAAAAATTGTCTGATACATAATCGCAATTTAAAAACATTACGGTATTCAAAGTAATTTATCATTTTCGCGCCATTTGCGTTACATAAGAAATGTGATACTATACGCTATTTGTATAGATGACTTTGTACAAGACCGCAAGCACAGTTCATTATTATAAACAGTAACGATAACAAGTACGAAATTAACTGAATTGAGATTACATTGTACAATCCAAACACCGCAAGATATAAGTAATGAAAACTTTATAAGAATTCGGGATCCTTACTGCGTACATATAGAGTATATATGTCTATGTATTTAAGAAATCATATCGAACATCATAAAGAACACTTTAATTTTTAACGTACTTTTTATCTTTATAAAATATACGGAATAAAAGATCAATTTGACGTTACTTCAATGAAATTGTGTTCGTACTGATGATATTAAGTCTGTGCAGTCTATTATGTTCAAAATATTAACATAGCATACTAATAAATAGTAATAAACATTTATTATACGAAGGTTTGAAGAAAAATCTAAATCGAAGCTTAGTATCATCATAAATTAAGTCAATCATTTGGATACGTAATATGATATAACAAATCGTTTCTACCCACCCATTGGATTCCAGTCATGCCAAAATGGGAGAGAAATTAATTATGTCAATATTTTACGATATTACTAAGTTAATAAATAAGGTTTCACTTTTTGTAAATTACCATATTCCTTTTCCCGTTCTATCTTTTAAAACTCCAGTTAAAATCTTTACCTACCGATGAGTTAAGCGCGTGGGTTCATAGTTTTGAACCCCGGAAGTAAAACTGAATATCATCGGTAGTTGAGTTACTATGTTAGAGAGACTGTGTTACCCCCATGGTGATAGACATAAACTTGTTTTAATTGTTAGAATTAAGAACAATATATCTTATAACGGTATCAAATCTTTTGTCCACCAAATAAAGGTCGAAAGCAAAGCAAATTAGCATCAATTTCGCTTCTAAGAAAAGACCCATTCAGCGATATAAAGATATGTCTTAAGCGAACCGCTCCTTTCAATTCGCAAAGCAGCGCTAACCATGTGGGCAGTGTCTCATTGTTTAAAACTATAGGCTCTCATATTACTACTGCGATTACCTCATGTCTAGACGCATTGAAAGGTAGACATTTTTTCTAAGCACGCACCGATGTGGGCGTTAACGTATTGATCATTGGAATGTTTTTGTCAGCGATTAATTACCCGAATTTAAGGTCGATCACATGAGGTTATTTATAGTTAACTAGCTGTGTCAGCGACTTCGACCGCGTCGAATTTAGAAGCAATACAGAAGCATCAAAATTGGTTTTTGCAATATCCTCCACATTTATCAATTATAGCTATTATCCACGACGCTGACGGCGTCCCGTCGTTCTTGCAAGTTAATTAAAAAAAAATAGGCATATACTGTCGCAGACATTTTTTGAGATAATTTAATAAGGAATAATTCTTTAATAGATATTTTTTCTTAGAATCGTTTTCACAGGGTATGCAACGGAATCCCACAGAGATGAATAGTTATTTTTTTTCCCATTTCCCAATGATGATAGCCTTTCTTGACAAGTGCTCTATCAAGACAATTTTTTTTTTTAAATATGTTTACTTTACCGATTTAGGGCTCTTTGTGACCTACCACAATAACCACGCAATCCCACACGTCAGTTTTTTTATATTTTCCCTACGTGGGGCATTGATTAGACTTCTGTGCCTTGACTGAAATTATTTTAATATTCCTAGGAACTCAAATCCAAGAGCTCACGTTCTGACTTGACACGGAGATGGTCAATAGAATAGAATAACGCCTAAAAGCCACTTAAAAAATAGGTAGTTTTAGTCGTGTTTAATTATGTTACTGTGTATCTAATGTGTATGCTCTAGAAAAGTTAATAAATATGATACGTTACACTACAGTAGCTATTGTAACAAACGGTATGCCCTCGTCAATTTTAATGTGTTAATTTTTTTAGATGGAGATGACAGCTATATAAATTAGTTTTTTTAGGGATCAGCAAAAATAATCTTTTTAAAACAAAACATAATCAAAGTTATTTTTAGTGTTTAATAACGTTCCAAGGAATATTTAAATAATATTCGAGAAATGTAAGTGATAGATATTTTTCTTTTTCGTTTATTTTTACTATTTATATAATAGCTTACAATATAATTTAACTGAACATGACTGTAGTTTACACGATTAGTACACAGTTAAATTAAGTAAACACTTTTTAACGGACGAGTTAAAGTCACTTACAATTTATTTTAACTATGTAGCAATCGTGGACACGGGGGAGACTGAAGGTCGGTCTCTCTAATGTCAAATTTGTTGTTGTCCTACATTTCTTACGAGACTGTCAAGCTCTAAGGTAAATAAATTTTGTAATTGAAATATTCTCTCACGGGCCATAGGCATGACAGTTATCAAATGATAGTCAGCGCCACCTACTGTTTTAATACACTCCATAATTTCGTTATAGGGTGTAGCTGTCCTTGAAAAGCAACGTTTAAGCTTCATTTAACATATTCGTTTCATTTCAAATATTTTAGAGCTTCAATTATTATCACTTTCACATGGGAATGTATATTATAGTTAGTCACTAAGCTGTAATGGATTTAATATTTTTGAAACGCAGAACGAAGACTACCCGCTCAATTTGCCGTCAACTATCGAGTTCCTTTGACTTTCTCTTAAGTTTTTCTAGAGCTATTAAATGTAGACGTTACGTTTGTAAGCATATGTATACACTCTTTGTTGACTTGTCACTGTATACAATTGCGTTTGGAAAGCGACTTTTACTTCGTCGCGTGGGCGTCTTTTAAATGCGAAGGACTGCTGGATTTTGAGCGATAAAAATGACTTATTTCTATTAATTCTCCAATATTTCTATGATAAATTGTCGACCTCGTAAATTTTAAAGTTATAAATTGGTAGCAGCGTTCTTTTGTTGGGTAAAGTATGTATGCCGTATATTAAGATTAGGGTCAGTCACAAAGAATGGGACGTGACAATAAATTAATTAGCACAGCTGACGCACTGCGTTCCGATTCAGGTGGTCCCTCTTATGTGAAGAGGGAAGCTTTAAGTTCGATGTTATCTGCTTTGAAAGAACTGATAATTTCAATACTCCCTAATGCCTGCCTAATGGTATGTTGATATCGAGCGCTATTGAGACCCGGACAGGTGTAACATGACGAATGTAGATTCGTTTTAATTACTGCATTTTGTTCGCTTCTTTTTCAATCTTATTTTTATTAATCAATAGTTTGGTAATTGAAATGTAATGTACGAAGACAAGGAAAACCTATAGAGATGTAAAAATACTTATAACTCCTAGATTAGTAAGTCACTTTATTCATAACCTGTTGGTATGGAACTTAAAAAATGGAGAAGTGGTATTACACAGAGTTCAGTTGACCAAGGAGTCATCTGAATTGTCTAGAGTCATAATTAAGGGAGTAAATTATAGCAAATAACATTTACGCATCTGTTATGACAAAAGAAAAACTAAGATTACAATTTTACAGGTTTTCAAAAGCATACTGTTATGGAGAAAAAACGGGATTTCAATGTTACATGAGTACCATCTTTTAGTTGAAACGTAAGTACCTACGTAAGGTGGCATTTAAGAGCTATATACCTAAACGTCCATTTTAAGGGCTATTTTAATAGCGCCTTCACAGTTACTTAAAGCGCGTAAAATTAAATGCCACACATTGATTTTGAACGTCATAATAGGATGCTGTCGGAGCTTTTGATCTGATCCTCCAATAAGCGTAATTG